ATCTGTTCTCTTGAAAGAAAGTTCGCTATGATTGTTCCCTTTTAATTTCCTCCATCAGTGTATAGCTGTCTGCTAGTGAGGGGTCAGTGCAAACCTAGCTTTCCAAGCCTTGGATGTAATTTCCCAGAAGGCCCTAGTACCAGGTTATAGTCCTTTAGTGACTACTGATGTGGGTGTACAAAAAAGGTATCTGTAATAATCCACTAATCCTGTTGATAATGGACAGCAGAGGCCAGGCACTCACTGTGTGCCCAGGACTAAGATGAACCTCTGTCTGACTCTTTTCTGCTCTATCTCTTGTTCCTTTCTATCTTTCTCAGCCTTTTCTCTGTGTCTGCATCATTTGTCATTCCCTCCTTCACATTTGCTCTCTCCTTAAATTGGTCACAGTAGAGAACTAAAGTACTTCCTATTATTTTTGTATCATTGAACTGAAATTAATGCCTATGTCTGGCCTAAAAATGCAAAACAAAACGGTATCCCAGTTGTATATTCAGATGACCACTCTTATTCATCCCTTTGCCTCTAAATTCTGCTACTAAAAACATTTTCTCCCTGTTTTGTATTGTGAGCTCTTTGAAAACAAAGACTATTTTGCAGCCATGGTCAGTTCCTCAGGAAGCTTCTCCATTGGCAGTAATCACAGCACTCGTCTTGACAATACATCACTCCAAAAGGATCAGGCAGAACACTTTGCTGCTGTGAGGAAGCACAGGTAGTGATAGCAAAGAGGGCTGGAGATGGATCGAACCCCTGTTCTCCCAAGACTGCGGAGGCAGCAGGTTACACTAGTGAGTTGTCCAGCTGGGAGCACCTTCATGCAGAGTGCCTTGTTCTCAAGTAATGGCAAAGACCCTTGGGCACACACCCACCAAGAGAGCCTGGAGGAGCAGCAGCTTGGAGCCAGAACCCTACCTCTGCCCCTCAACCACATGTGCTTCAACCCTGACTCAGTTTACTCACGCACAGTCAAGAAGACTGAACAAGAAAATGCACTGGCTAGGAAGAAGGGCTTACTAAATGTTCTTATTTTGGCTAATGTTTATTGAGTATTTTCTCTGTGTTAGGAGGATACTGGTCCTTTAATGAGAGGAAATTGAATTTAGAACAGTTGAAATTCTCCCAGGATCCCACGTAGCAAGAGGCGTTGTCATTGACACCCCCTCCCCATTAGCTAGTGTCCAAAGAGTGAAGAAGCAGCCACTGTTTGAAAGCTCAGATCTTCAGGTCTATCTTGGCTAGGTGTTAGTGACAGGCTAACATTTCTAGACCCATGGACTCCCTAACAGTTACCAGCTCTCCTGGACAGCCCTCCCAAATGTTCCTAGCCCTGCCTCTTCTGTGGACCCCTGGATGGGTAAGAAGTGAAGAGAAGCAGAGACTGTTGGTGGGAAAGAAAGGATGGGTATAGGAGGCTCAGCCAGAATGAGAAAATAAACTACTCAAGTAATCAGTCACTTCCTAGGAGCCATAGAAGTGGAACCAGCTGGTGAGTAAAAGCAATGTTGTGGCGCCATCTGCTGGTCCCTATGTTCACTTCAGTGAATGTGTGGGTCTCAGACGAGTGGCTTTTCCACCATGGCTGGAGACGGACCCATCAGTATCCTGGGACTTGAAAACAGTTCTGTTGGAACTTTTATGATTGTCAGGGCATAGGTTCTTTTTTTTTTTTTTTGGTGGTACTGGTGTTTGAACTTAGGGCCTCACACTAGGCGGGCGCTCTACCACTTAAGCCACTCCACCATTCCTTTTTTTCAGTTGCTTATTTTTGTTTGAGATAGAATCTTGCAAACTATTTGCCTGGGCTGGCCTGGAACCATGATCCTCCTCATCTCAGCCTCCTGAGTAGCTAGGTTTATACACATGAACCACCAGTTCCCGGCTGGCATAGGGTATTTTTTTTCTAGTATAGAACAACAGCTTGCCTGAAATAGACTATACAAGCCTAAATCCCTCTCTCATGAACCACATAGAACCTATCTTTCCTGTTGGGACCAGAGAGGGACTTTTCACTTTTTGGTCCTGCCTTTTGTGAGGAATGCAGAGCATTTTTGGCTCATAAAAATAGACCCTTGCTACTTCCTACAGACACACACATAGCCACATAAAATGTAGTTTGAACTTAAATATAATGGTTTTGTGAGAGGTGGCTCAGGAAGAATGTGGCATGTTCTGATTCTGCAGGACTGTGGTAGACAAGTCAAAAGTTAGAGTGTACTTACGTGTTCAGATAATGCACTAAATCTTCAATTATACATTTTGAGTCCTTTTTTTTCTAATCAGGACATCCCAGGAAGCAGGTAAACTTGTACTCTGTCAGCTTCCTTCATCACGAGGCATGCCTGTGAGAGAAAAAACATGCCAACTATGTATTATTCACTTCCTTAAGTTCAGGTGTAGGAGAATCAAGACATGTAGTTGTCACTGGTTTTTATTCAACATTCCCAATAAACAAATTTTGTTTTGATTTAAAAATAAAATACAGTTTGATCCAATGCAAAGTGAAATATCAAATACCATTGGCCCCCTTTAAACACGTGCTCAGTTATTTACAGTAAGTTTCCAGGATACAGAGAATGGCCACTGTGGAGCTGCAGGTGATACCGTGCCTGGCGATTTCTTGGTGGCCAGAACTGTTTGAGCATCCTACAAATTCAGTCACAAACCTGGGACTGAGAATCACACACAGAAGACTGTCCTGTCTTCAAGGAGCTCCCAGTCTGTGAGGAGCTGACAAGTTCATGTGCAGCTATAATGGTATGTGTAGAGATCATGTAGTTAGACAGGAGACTGTCCCAGTCCAGGATGTAGTTGTGCCAGGGGTTCATCCCCTTATTACATGGGGTCTGATATAGACAGACGTTTCCTTCATTTCTAATAACTTCATCTGCAAGTTGGTCACCAGCTTTGATCTGTATGCTATTTAAAAACCTCTCATGACCTGTCAAGAATTTGCAAAACCACAGATGACTCCCTGGATCCCCAGCCACATGAAAAGCTTTGTGGTTTTCAAGCTGCATTGTAAGAACTGTCCCAACACTCAAGACAAAACTAGTGCTTGCTATGTCCCTGGAATGAGGGAGACATTTGGCATTTGACGTGTGTGTTAACTTGACTTTCCCCCAAAGGATAGAAGTGTTTCTCTTCTAATTTTATTCAAGAAGTTAGTGAATCAATAATTCAGCACTTCCAGCCTTCCACAAACCTCATTCACTCCATGGCAAGCATTCATCCATTTCCAGTTCTGTGCCAGCTCCTGTGCCAGGGACATTAACTGCCCTCAGTTGCTCCACACAGGCCAAAAAACATGTTTGCAATGGGTACAGTTAAGCACAAATCAGGTAAAGGAAGCCAGGACCCCCACCCAGTTGAGGAAAGGATGGACAATTAGTGGGTCTCCCACTGGCCATGACCTGGTAGAAATGAATCTTCTGGAATGCAGTCTTAAGGAATCAGTAAAAGGAGGGCTCATCTGCCTGGACCATGCTAACCTGTGGTCACTGCATTGGAAGGCAGGTGCAGGTCTATCATGCTCTCTCTGTGTGTTCATAGAGGACGGCCATGTATCCTGGTACCTGGTTTAGCAGGCTCCGTATTATTTATGTAAGCCCACATGCCTCCTAGATCACCTCAAAGTCTTGCTGGGTTCCCACGTCTGTTTCTGAACCCAAACTGATCTTCACCATACTCCTGAACAAAGTGAACCAGGGGCTCCAAGTTCCTGGACTGGCCTGCTGTGAAGGACATTGCTGGGCTTTGAACTTCATCTGTCCCTGTCTTTTACTCAGAATGACTAAGAGTCCTTGGGGAGGGGCAAGGCCACTAATTAAATTGCCCAGCCCCCACCCCTGATCTCCAACCATGAAACTCAGCATTGTCACCCAAATGCCCTTTGTTGGCTTTTGCTCTCTGTCTTCATTATGTTCAAACATTTGTTTAAGCTACCTAAGTGTGTTGTGCACTGCACTGTAAGTGCAGGGCAAGGTTGAGTTTCCAGAGCTCTCAAAGAATTAAGTCATTGGACAAAGTGTTAAAGCAGAGGTAGTATTTCATCCCAGGGCCAATGACTCCTGAGCCCAACTCCAAACCACTCCACACCTGGTCACAGCTCTCCAAAAGAGGGTCCTGTGGCTCCTGAGAAGCTGTGGGAGAGAGAAAGAAAGCACATTGCCACTGGGACAGGAGAGTGTGGCGCTTTCAGTGGGGACATCAGCCAGCAGGTGGATACAGACTGCTCGGGGATCCTGAGTTACATATTGTCATCGCAGATGCTTTCAGTGGCTTTAAGAACACGCCCTTTCCCTCCTTAGCTTATCAAGTGTACAAAAGACCGAAATAAAATAAAATAAATAACCAAAATGAAATATCATTCCTGCATTAATAGTAAAGGGAAAATCATTCTCATTGTGTTTGATCATGTTTTCAGTATATAACAATTCAGCTTTGGAATACATATGATAAAATTCACACATTTTTCCTATCATCCATTTCAGTTCTCATTTCTACCACTTGTCCTTAGGCTAGAGCTTTTCCTTCTTTAACTCAGGAGCTAAATGAGAATAAATTGTAGCAATCCTGGTTTTGTGGCCTGACCACACATGGCTAACTTTTCTATTTTAACATGTACTTTGTGCAATAACTTTGTATCACTTTAGGCTTGGAAGTCCTCCAGGGGAAGATGTTTTTGCTTTGTTTGTCCTAGAGCACCTCACCACACACAGCTAGTCCTGAGAAATTCAGGCTGGGAGAGTGTGGCTGGTAGGAAGGAGCCATCTGAGAGCCTCCTACTGAGCCTGCCATCTTGCCATAGAATGAACAGAGAACCACGTGTACAGTTACATGGCACTGTGTGCTGACTTGCAGCATTTAAGCCTCTCTGGAGGAAAGCCAATACATTCAACATGTCCTCTGTGTGCTCAGCAATGTCTGTCCCCAGGTGAAGTCACTCACCCCAGGACTGACCCCTAGAGTTCACCCCTGCCCCTCTCTTCTTTCCACAGCGGTCCCACTCTGCGTTCTCATTCACTGGAGAAGATTCCCGGAAGCCCTCTTCCCCGGGGACTGTGTTGAGGCAGCAGGTGGCCCGGGGCCAGCATCCAAGGGAGGAGCGTGCTCTGCCCAGCTGGAAGAGCATGGACAGGCTGGATGGAACTAGTAACGGTTCGTCTGTGGGTTTCAGAAGTGCTGTTTAGAGGCTTAACAGCTGTTGTGTGGCCACTCAGCTATTCCTCCCTTAAGTTTGAATTGGCACAGGCCCATAGTGGGCAGCTCGGCCACCAGGTCACAAGGCCTCTAGTGCAGCGTGCAGTATACTATGTGGTTGTGTTTTCCACATGAGTGGCTTTTTGAGTTGCAGTGGCAAAATGAAGGCTCTTGAGGTGCCATCAATAGTCCATGCTCTTTGCTGAGACCTGTGGGATGGGGACGCTACTGGCAGGTGTGTTAAAATCCCTCTGCTGCATGGCCTCGTTGCAGCTGCCAGCTGCCTGTTCTAGGTAGACAAGGGGATATGTCTTATGAAGGCTAGGATCACTAAATCCACAACCTAGGACATTTCAACTTTCACAGGGACTTGGGTCCTGGCATCAGCTGGTTTTTAAGGCATCCAAACCAGATATACTAGTTAGGGCAGCACTCACTGTTATACATGTAAAGCAAACATTGAGATAACTTAATGCAATCATTAATCATCACACAAGGTCAGCACAAGTGTCCCTGGCTTGGGAAGGCCTAGGCCAAGGCTCCTACTTGGTGGCTCTCTGCGTTCTAGGTCCTGAATCTTCTGTTGAATTGTCCACATTCAGCCAGCAAAGGGAGGAAGAGAGACTAGAAAAAGAGCATACCTGCTCTCTCATCACCTCAGCAGGGAATAAGCTCCACTATCACTCCTGCTCAATGCAGGGAACCCTGGGAAATGTAGTTCTGCATAGCCCATGTGTCCCAGTAGCATCATCAGATGTGCAAGGCAGCTGTCTACCCTGCACATCTGTGCCTGTGGTCTTTCTGTTCCCATCCCTACACTGGGTGATTGAACTCGCCTCAATGACAACACATAGTCCTTTATGAAGCTGTCAAGTCATTTAATCGCTTAAAATGAAGGGACTCAGATTAACCAAATCACTTTCCTAAATTTACATCAGAAGGCTATGAGATACTTGTAGCCATGTGGACAACATCCAAGGCCACAATGACCCTGTGTTCAGAGGTCTCTTGGCCCCCATGACTGTGGGAGTAATGGTGCCTACAGTACGGGACTGTTTCTTCCTCACCTAGTGTGCATTTATCATATAATGGAAGCCAGCCCCATTTGTCCTCATATGAAGAAGCTACTGGCGACATTCCCATGCTATGTCATATGTCAGATCTAGACTGTTTTCCTGAACAACAAAAATAACAAAAAGATTAACAGCAAAATAGCCATTCTAGAAATGAGTTTTTAAAGATTCTGGTATCATTTCTAATCTGTAAGGAAAATAATTTAACCACAGGGCAAAGAATCAGAAACATTAAATATTTTTAACTGTCATACTAAAGATTTTTCTAAAGGAGACAATTTCTGTTTTAATCTATTAGTACCTATCAGTAGAAACTGCAGAGACATACATTGTAGAGCTTAGAGCATACAATGTTTTCTTCATTTGGGTATATGCTTTTGTTTTTTAAGTACATTTTTCATTTCTAGATATGCCTTTCTTTCTCTCTGTTGACCAGCAAATTCATATACATTCACTCATTCATATTCCACCCCTTCCTCCTACTCTTTCTTCTACTCTAGGGGACTATACATTCCCCTAGAGATAGGACTCGCAGATTCCACAGAGCATATGAGAATGTCATACAATAGGTTTTTGCTAAACATTAAGAACTAGCCTTGAAAATCACTTTACAATAAACAAAGTCCACATACAGACCATTTGTTCCTCCCAGAGCATCACTACTGCTAACATTATCTTATTTGGCAGATAAGAGCAATGATGGGCAGTGAGGTTAAGTGACTTGTCTAAAACCCCACAGTTAACATCACAGGAGCTGGTCCTCAAACCCAAACATCATGACTCTGACCTGTAGGTCTTCAACTAATGCATGATAATAAGTGTCTCTTCCATAAAAACAAACACATGAAAGCCAGCATTTCAAAGTGAAGACTTACAGAGTGATAGATTTGTAGGATATTGTAAAAATTTATTTAAGATACTCATTGCCAGGCAAGGTGGTATACACCTGTAATCCCAGCACTTGGTAGGCTGAGACAAGAGGATCACAAGTTTGAGGTCAGCCTAGGCTATAAGCAACTTCCAGGCCAGCCTGGGATAAATAGTGAGACCCTGTATCAAAAAAAAAATAATAATCCATTTCACAAATAGTTTCCCACTGGATTAGGAGCATTCCTAATAAGTTTACAAAGGAATTTCTTTTCAAAATATGACTTTGTATGTATCAGTTGTATATAAGCATAAAGCAGTATCACACTTTGAGCAGAGTATCATACTCTGCTCAAAAATCCATGCATCTTCAAAAAAATATAAAAGCACTTGAGTAGAAAATCTCTGTTCCCATGCCAACCCCAGAGCCCTTGAGGGAAGTGTGACATATTTAGCAGGAAGCAAACTATTCTCAGAGGACTTGCTTGGTCTCAGCAGAGCGGAAGTTTAGGACAGAAGAGGTGCAGAGGTAGAGGCCATCTTGGAAGGTTAACATCCACTGGGCTATTTGTAGCTGCTGTGTTTGTCCTCAGGAGCCTGTCTGTGTGCCATTGGGGCAGCGTTAGGGACACTGTGGCTTGGGTGAGCCACAGCAACTCCACCTTTAGCCTTGACAGTGCTTACAGCAGTCACTAGATTTCCTCAAAATGCCTTTCACCTTATAGACCTTGATTGAGCATTGTATCCACAGCATGTGCTCAGTGTTGGGGAAATGAGGAGCAAGGGATTGCCATTGCTCTTGAGTGGCTCACTGAGCACTGGCTGCACAATAATAAACGATCAGGAGTTTGGATGAAAGAGGGAATGGGGAAAGTGGGGTCCCAGAGGGATGCTGTCATGGGGAGAATGTTATGTGGGAACCCAGGTACAGCTTTTAGATGCTGTGATGGTGCAGCTTGACAGCCACCAAATTCTTCACAGGCTTGAACATCCTGTGGTTTTTTTTTTTTTTTTTTTGCTAAGAAGGATGGGAATTTGCTGAAATAAAAGTTGGCCTATTTCTAGCTTCTGCAGAAGCACATGGCAACCAAGGGCTGTAAAAGGCAGGAGAAGAGGAACTGACAGTTGGGTTAAGTTACATTCTGGTATATACTAGGTGTTGGGGTCCAAAGACCCCCATTTCCAACATGTTCAACATGAGTGGCATTACCAGAGAATTTCTTCCTCCAGAATCCTCCAGTGGTCCTGGGAACAGCTGTCAACAGCAGGGCTCACTGAGAGCTGCACTGTAAGAGCCGGGCCTTGCCTTGCAGCCTGTTGGTCCTGTGTTCGCTAACAAATAGTCTTTACATGCCTGGGATGGGCCAGATCTGGCCAGGGGCTAGAGACACAACAGAAAGAAGACACAGGACATGAGCCCAGGAAACACACAGGAAGGGACATGAGACAAGAAAGGAAAGGCAGATCATCATGACTTGTTATCAAGGTGGTTACCATTGAGGATGCCTGGAACTTGTGCTCAAGGAGCTCGGAATCAGGTGTGGAGGTCAGGGTAGACAACCAAGAAAACAAACCATGACTCAAGTGGTAGAATACCTGCCTAGCAAGCATGGGGCCCTAAGTTCAAAGCTCAGTATTGCCAAAAATAAAAGTTTTTTGACCAAAAAACTCAGAGAACCCAGTAGCCAGCAACTCCAGGAAGGAAGGCCAAGGGTGTGACACTGAGGAGCAGTGTTTGAATGAAGTTTCAGAAGCAAAGAGAAACTGGTGAAGTGGCTCAGGTGATAAGAGTACCTGCCTTGCAAGCATGAGGCTCTGAGTTCAAACCCCAGAACTGCAAAAAAAAAAAAAAAAATGTTTACCAGAAGCAAAGATAAAAGAATGAATGATGAACTCTTCCTTTCCTTTCAGAATGAACACATGCCACAGAGGGCCTAGTCTACTTGCATCTTCTGGGCCATTGACTTCTATCAGATGCAAAGTCTAGTGGAAGAATCTGAGGGCTTATGGTTGATTAGGACATGAGCCCAGGAAACACACAGGGAGGGACATGAGACAAGAAAGGAAAGGCAGATCATCGTGACTTGTTATCAAGCTGGTTACCATTGAGGGTGCCTGGAACTTGTCCCCACTGGAGATCCCAGGGAGCCCATGTGAAATGCCTGCCTGCCCAGGAGGCAAGGGGGCTGAGTATTTATTCATGAGTTTCCCCAAGTCATTAGTTGAGGGGTGCTCCCAGGAGGGGCTGACTCCCAGGCTCTTCAACCTTGCCCCTGGGCAGGCAACGCAGGCTCCTGCACTTAGGTCAAGACTCAAGCAGAGAATCTCAAGTGCTGCCAATTGGAGCCCAACTACTATATACCTAAGGGTCAAGGGCCAAGATTTTAGGTGGGACATCACAGAGTCTGCTATAGGGAAAATCAGTATTGGAAATTGCTGCCTGATGTTCCTGGCAACCCATACCACCTGTGGCACAGCATTGGGAGAATTGCCAGCAAAAGATAAACACTTCTTTAGAAGACTATTAGCACCTCCTCAAGTACAGCCCACAAACTCTAGATAGTAGTAACACCCCCTGCTAGTCATGCATTCAGACGTTTACAAAGTCAATGAACATAGTATTCCTGTATCGGTATGAATGCATAACACTGACCAATGACTACAAGATACATATCTGTTTTCTGCATATGTACATATGGAGTAGATGGGTATTGATCCACAAGCACATGCTCAATACTAATACTACTCAATTCAACAGACAGAAAATAGGACTAGCTGAGAGCCCTCTGTGTGACAGACATGATCCCCACACTATATATCGTAATAACCCTAACAACAGCCGTGGTGGGTCACATTGACCCCTCTGACAGGCTAGGAAACAGGCTCAGAGGTGCTCTCTGAGCAAGGCCCCCTGCTAGTAAACTGAGTCACTGCGAAGCAGCACTGGATCTGCCTGCATCTAAAGTTCTTGTTCTTTGCCTAGCACTGAAGCATTCTGGCTCATTTATGGATATGGGGAAAGGAACTGTTAAGGATTAGTCTTCTGCTCTGAGCAGGCCCGGTAGTTGGCATACTGTATGAGCATCCCTTGTGTCATCCCCATGACAACCCAGAGAGGCGTTAGCTATTCCTTCTCACCAATGGGAACCACGTTGTGGCTAAGAGGGGTTTCTGCCCAGGCCTCTGCCTATGAGACCTGTGTGCTTTCCACTGTGCCAACTGGTTCTAGGGCACAGTAGGCTAATTCGCTTCTAGGATAAAGGGGTGACTGGGATGCAGGCCCCACCTTGGGACCCTGTCATCTGGAGACTGGATCAGCCATGATCCTCCAAGGAGGATTATGGAGAGAGGATCAGACAGGAGGAGGCATGTCTGGATAGCGAGATGAGAATGCACTGTGGGAATAGGGGGCTGTAGGAATGAGATGTTTAAGGAACTGCTGGGGCTTCACCTGGTGGTGTGGCGGAAGTGGATAATGAAGGAAGGAGCAGCAGGTGGAAGGACGGGCATTTAGCCTCGAGCTTCCCTGGAAGTCCCTGTTTACATCTTCCCACTGCTGGAACCCAGCATCCTCCTGACCAGAGAAAGTCCCACTTCCTGCCAGTGTGGGCTTTAGGCAGGCAATTGACATGAAACTGGGTCACTGAGTTGAAAACACACATTCCACCATTTGAACATCCCCAAGGAGTTCTGAGAAAGGCCTGGCAAGGATGATGCTCTGTGGACAATACACTGGTAATTCATTCCATCACGCGGAGCAACAAAGGTTTAATTGGTAGAAGACCTGTATGTTTTAGTAGCGTGGGGTAGGAGTCTGTCTTTAGGTCTTACTGCAGCGGACCCATGGCCCAGAAGCTGGGGTCCACACACAGGTCAGAGAATAGTCCCCTCTCAAGCCCTAAGCCCTCTTACCCAGCACCAAGCATTCCTGCAAGGCTCCAGGTGAAAAACAGCTTCTGCTAGTAGCATAGCTGTTGTGCCCACAGAAGCCATGGCTACAGGAACACTGCATCTCTCATTCCCACTCCCAAGCACACATGGGGGAACATCTTCCTGTTGATCTTCAACAAAAACAAGACAAGGCCACTCTTATTCCCCTAATTCCCAGTGACCTGAGCCTGCTCACACCAACCCAGACCACAACTACAGGCTGAGATCAGCTCCAGCCTCCCTTTACAGTGGCCAAGGGCCTCTGTGGAGCCCAGACTGTAAACTCAGAGCTGCCTTGGAGTTGGCTAAAGGAAGTATCCTGAACTGACTCTCCCTGGGACCTGAGACCTTGAACAAATTATTAGACTTCGCTTGTCTCATCCCCCTTCTGTACAATGAAACTGGAAACACCAAGCTCTTTGGCCTCAAGTTCTTTCCGGAATGAGCCACATAAGATAGACTTCAGTGCCCATCACAAGGATGGGGGAGAGAGCTGTAAAAGTCCCAAGGGCAGATGTGTTCGACTGTGAGGCAGGTCAGGGAAGGTGGCAGAATTTTTCCTCTGTCAATGAGGGTGATAGCTCAATATCAGAGCCAGAACCTGGGGCTGCCAACTATAGCCCTGTCCCCTCCCTTCCTGCCAGCCTAAGACAGGAGTGGGACAGCTCTCAGGAGACAGGAAAAAGAAGTCAGTTCTCCAGGTTTCTTTCTATCTGTGAAGCCTGAAGAGCTTTCCTGAGGACTTTAAAATCTGCCCATTCAATTAAGTGTGCCCTACTGGTCTTCCTAACACCTCTAGAGCCAGTTCTGGGAGACGACAAGTGGAAGCCCCAGCTTGCTATGTGGTGATAACACCCACTGGTTTCTCTCTCCTCTCCACCAGATCTGGCCCCGGTTTTGCAGAGCCCTGACGGGAACTGGGTGGCCCTGAAGGATGGCACTCTGTCCCCAACCCGCCTGCTGGCCAAACCTAAAAGTGGGACATTTCAGGCCCTGGAGGTGGCTTCCAGTGCGGCATCTGCCTATGATGAGATGGGTTCTGACAGCGAGGAAGACTTTGACTGGAGTGAAGCCTTGAGCAAGCTGTGTCTGCAGTCCCAGGGCCTGCCCAGGCACCGCCAGCCTGCACAGGCCCAGGACTCTGGCCAGGGTCCCTCAGCCATCGCTCCCTCCTCTGTGCTCTCCCCCAACCCTGAGGCCGGGAGCTCTGACTCAGAGACCTCCTCAGCAGGCTCTTCTCGGGAAGCTGGACATCGGGCCAGGCTGTCCTGGATGCAGAGGAAGGGCCCCAAGAACCCTGCAGCAGAAAGGATGCACCTCCAGGGAGATCTGGATGTGAACTTCAACCCCCAGGTGGCCAGTGGTGAGACCTCGGACAGCAGTGAGCCAGAAGAGGCCCTCCACACCGTAGACCGGCGGGCCGGGAGGTGGAGAAGGGCCCGAGTGGGCTCAGAGGAGCCAAACAAGGAAGCATCCCCCCCCACAGCCCACTCGCAGGATCTGCACACGCAACAGGTAACGGGTGCACCCATGCACACACCACACGCTAACATAGGATGCACCCTCACCCGAGCTTGGTGACTCAGTCCTGGGTTTGGAATCCCCAGACTCCGAGTCTCATCTTGGGTTTTCTTGTTTTTACATTTTCTGTAATCATATTATTGTTGTATTGGGAGTAAATTGTGACATTTACAGAAGTTCTTAAACTATATCATAGTTAAATTCACCCCCTCCATCATTCTCCTTTATCCCCTCCTTCCCCCTGGAGTAGTTTGAAGAGGTCTCATTTTTCCACTTTCACACGTGAGTACATAATATTTCTACTACATTTCTCTCCTTTCCTCATATCCTCCCCCACACACTGGTGCCAACCCCCAGACAGGACCTGTTTTACGTGTTCTCTGTTTTTGAACAAAGACATTATTGTTTGTTTAAAATAGTTACACAGGGAGTTCCACTATGACGTTTACATGTATATAGGTATTATAACTTAAATTGGTTCATCTCCTCTATTTTTCTTCTTTCTGCCTTAGTTCACTTCTTATGGTGATTTGAACAAGTTTAAAAACTCTGTATTCATCTTGGTTTTGCTGCTTAGTAGCTGAGTGACCCTGGCCAGATCACATCAGTTCTCTGGGGCTCTGTGTTCTCTTTGGTGGAGGTAAACCTAGCAAGACCCTATCACAAAGAGCAAGCCAGGAGTCAACAGTAGAATTAGGGTCTGAAGCCAGCATGAAACACTACCAGAAAAACAAAACCAAAAAAGGGGGCCTATGAGCTTGGTTCAAGTGGCAGAGCACTTGTCTAGCACATACTGCGCCCTAAGTTCAAACCCTAATACCACAAAGAAATAGTGTGGTTTGCAAAGTGTGACCCAGGACCACTCACCTGGGAACTCATTAGACAGGCAGCTTCCCAGGCCCCACCCAGACCTGTGGAACTACTGTTGTGACAGGCCCTCCTGGTCAGTCTGCTGTGCACTGAGCCTGAGGACTGAGGGTGAGGGATCTAGAGTCGGGTACCCTGGGCTCCAATCCATGTGACCGTGAGCAAGGCATCTCTGCAGTTCTGGGTTTCTCATCTGAAATAGAGAGGGTACTAGGACCTGGCTCCAAGGATAGTTGTAACAAATGAGTGATATAGATAATGTCTATAAAAAGCTGAGCCTGTCCTAGAGCCAGCACAAGGACACATAAGGGTTGTTTCAACCCGATGTCAGGGGACACAATGCACTGTGATTCTGGAGCCCTCGCCACTCTCCTCTCAGGATCTTCAGTGACTGCTCACATGGTGGAGTTTATGAATGCATTTTCATTTGGTAAATGTGATTAGAAAAACGTACCTGGAGAGAGAGAAAGACAGACAGACAGACAGACTTGCTTACAATTTCATGGACTCCCATTTAGGTTAATTTTATATTCTCTAAATACATCCTGCTAGCCTCAACTTGTGCCTTGGACTGTGCTGTTCCACTGCCCTTACCCTACTGTTGAAGCCCTCATATCACCCTAAACCTTAGACCTATTCTTGCAGATCCCACCTGGGCCTTCTCTAAACTCGAACGTGACACATGTGGCCAGGAACATTTAAATAATCTCAGTGCAGTGTTTGAAAGTGAGTCATATGGAAAATCTAATTATGCCGCCACTACCTTTGGTAGGCATTGTAGTCACCTAAATCAACTGGACTTCTTAAACCCCTGTAGAAACCACTCCCACATCCCAAGTGTCATTGGAGATCCAGAGTCCCAGCCACCATACCCTGCACTGCTAGTTTTGCTACCACAAAAAGCAAACCCAAGTCAAGGAGTTGGATGTGGTAGTTTATGTGTAGATTCCAGATGCCCAAGGGTGAGACAGGGAAGTAGAAAATGCCAACTAAGGTAAGCGGCTGGGACTCAGTCCCACGGAGACCCTCTGGGAAGCCATGACACAACTCAGGATTCTCTAATCAGAGGAAAGGGAGCACTTACCTACATCTCCCATCTTCCCTTAGTAGAGGTTTGTCCCCACCCAGGGTGGCCATTAATTCCAACAGTCAGGTTTGTGTGGTTGGGACTGAGTAAGCTCCTCAGATGGAAGAGAGAGATGAAAGTTTGAGAGTCAAAGCTCTCATTGGGTTAGAAACCATCCTCCATGGCCGCAAGCAATTCATGCAGGTCCAAGGCTATGAGCTTGAATTTTACCAGTGTTTGCTACAAGGCCTTCTATAAGTTCATCAGCCAGAGCCCTGGCCTTGGAACTCCAAAAAGGTGGTTGTAGACTCAGAGATTCTTAGGACATAAGAATCTGCCATCGCTCTTCCTGACCTGGTAATAGATTGCCTAGAAAAAGTCTTTTCTTTGTTTAAAGTTCTCATCTCTGTAAAACAAAAGACCATTAAAAATCTTCCTTGTCTATCATAGATTGAAAAAAATATATAGTCCAACTGTAAATCTTTATTCTCTAGTTCAAGGGGAGACTTGTTCAGAGACTTGGGGTGACTTGTCTTGGGGTATTCCTGAGCGTTGCCTGCATGATTCATTTGTGGGTATAAAATGTCTCCCTATCACCACAGCTGGTACCTTAGGCTTCTTATTTGCTACAACGTGGCTTCAAAGTTGTATTCTGACCTTAATCTTTGCCATGCACCAATAGGGAGAAGGCAGGGGCCAACCAAAAGGAGCTAGACAAGCCTGGCTGCCCAAAGCAAGTAGCAGTGTCCTCCCCTTGCCACTAGGTGGGGATGGTGCTGCGCTGCCTCAGGCCCTGGGCATCCTCCCTCCAATTTAGTCTACTAGGGTAGTCTCCAAAAGCATACATAAACTAAAATTATATATTTAAAGTGTTACTTACTTTTTAGTGATATAAATACATGAATATAATATAAAACAAATGAATTTAATGTAATGTAAAAACTATTAAAACGTATAGCGGCAATGCCCCTTTGACCACTACACTAAATCCACATCATCTCTCCCAAAATGACTACAGGTATATTTGGTGTGAATCCATCTTTGCACACTCATGTATGTGTAGTACGTTTAGACATATAATGAATTGATATAATTAATACTATAACTCAGCAAATGTAGCTATTTTAGCAAAACAGGCATCATGTTTTCCATATCCGTTCGCACTTTCTCCTAACAGTTAGTGACAGAGGTGTCCGCACGCACAGATCTACGCTCTCCGCAGCAAAAGATTGCTTCACCTGGGGTGCTGGCAGTAAGGGCAGCATTGTCTGTAGAAAATCTTTAAAAGGGTAAGAAATCCAAAAAAAAGTCATGCTCTGCAGCATGGGCAATTCTAAGCAATGCCAGTGGTGACATACTCTTCCCCGCTGGGTCAGGTGGCTTCTACCCCCACTCATGATCCCTCCCTTGGTTCCTCATTCTTCCATTCTGGTGGGCATTGGAAGGCGTTTTCAACGTCTCGGTGCTGTAAACAGTGCCACTGAGAATGTCACTGTGCAAAGCCCTTCCAACTGTGAGAAGTGCGATCACTGACTTGCAGCATAGATGTATCTTTCATTTTTAATCAGACTTGCCAAATTAAGCTCTGAAGACCTCATAGCAATTTATGCAGCCACAACAGTGTGTTCTTGCATGTTGTCAACACTATTATTGTCACTATGTTAAATTTTTGCTAATCTTATGTGAGCAAAAAAGTTCTTTTTAGTTAGCCTTTTCATAATTACCACTGAGATTGCACATTTTTTCCCATGTTTAAGATCACTTACATTTGTTTCTTCTGTGAAAGACACATCTATATTTTTATCTGTTATTCCATTGGGCTTTTTTTCTTATTTTTAGGAATTAGTTTTGTTTTCAAATTACAAATTTTATTTCTCTGATGGCTACACATGAAGACATTCTCTTGTCTGTCACTTTTGCCTTAACCTGGAGTATATTTTGTATACAAAAATTATTCTTACTAGTAATTTCTTGGTTGTGCCCCATTTATTGTTTTTGTATTTAGTGTCTTGCTGGATCTTCAACGTTGTAAGATTTTTTTCATATTTTTTTCTTAGTACTTTGTAGTTTTGTATTTTCCATTTAGCCCTTCAGTCCATTTGTGCTTTACTTTTCTGGATATGAGGTAGGAGCTAACTTTTTTTCAAATTAATGATTTGTCACCAAATCATCATCAAATAATCCATTGTTTATCTGTGGATTTCAGGTGCCTTCCTTAACAAGCATTACCTTTCTTTTATTTCTATTAGCCTGTTTTTAAAAAACAAAAACAAAAAACTTTCTACTTTGATCTGGAAGTCTCATTCCTATGCAAATACTACTCTATTCTTTTTGTTGTTGTTGCTGGTTTTTGTTTTTCTTTTTTGACACAAAGCCTCTCTAAGTCCTTCTAGTCTAGTCTTAGACTCATAATCCTCCCGCCTCAGCCTCCTGAGTGCTGGGATTACAGCATTGCCTGGCTGCCGCTGTCTAAATTATAATAAATTTATAGTGCATGTCACCGTCTGGGGGTTGCCTTCCCTGTGATGCTGCTTTGGATGCTGCTTACATCATTTTCTAAAAAGTGTCTTCACACATCTCAATCCTTTACTCATTAATTAATTTTTAAAATCTGTTCTTCAATTTGCAAAACAAAAATTTAACTCGACTGGAATTGCATTAAACATATGCATGTATTTGGAATGATTTATATCTTAATAATACTGAGCCTTTCCATCCAAAAATGTGGTACTAAAAAGTTTTATAGATATTTTTCAAAGCTTTTTTTCTTAATAAGTAATTTTAATTATCTTACTTATTTTGCTGATACTGCAAATGAGATTTTTAAAAATCTATTATATACTCTAGTTTCTGCTGGTTCATAGAATGCTAGTGATTTTATGTTTGTATTTTATAACTCAGCACCCAAATAGTGCTAGATTCTCTTATTAATTCTAGTAGTTTTTCAGGTAATGTTCTTAACCATTCAAGGTAGGTAGTCATATATTGTCTAGAAATAATGATATGTTTATCTTTTCCTTTCCATCATTTATACTTATTTTCCTTTCTTGTCTTATTGCAT